AGTGAACCCTGTGCCACTAACAGTGAACCCTGTGCCAATAACAGTGGACCCATTGCCAATAACAGTGAACCCTGTGCCAATAACAGTGAACCCAGTGCCACTAACAGTGAACCCAGTGCCAATAACAGTGAACCCATTGCCAATAACAGTGAACCCAGTGCCAATAACAGTGAACCCAGTGCCAATAACAGTGGACCCAGTGCCAATAACAGTGGACCCATTGACAATAACAGTGAACCCTGTGCCAATAACAGTGAACCCAGTGCCACTAACAGTGAACCCAGTGCCAATAACAGTGAACCCATTGCCAATAACAGTGAACCCAGTGCCAATATCAGTGAACCCAGTGCCAATAACAGTGGACCCAGTGCCACTAACGGTGAACTAAGTGCCAATAACAGTGGACCCAGTGCGAATAACAGTGGACCCTGTGCCAATAACAGTGGACACAGTGCCACTAACAGTAAACCCAGTGCCAATAACAGTGGACCCATTGCCAATAACAGTGGACACATTGCCAATAACAGTGGACCAGTGCCACTGACAGTGGACCCTGTGCCAATAACAGTGAACCCAGTGCTACTAACAGGGAACCAAGTGCTAACAGCGGACCCAGTGCCAATAACAGTGAACCCAGTGCCACTAACAGTGGACCCAGTGCCAATAAAAGTGGACCCAGTGCCAATAACAGTGAACCCAGTGCCAATCAAAATTATTGGACCCAGTGCAAATAACAGTGGAATCAGTGCCAATAACAATGGACCCAGTGCAAATAACAGTGGACCAGTGCCAATAAAAATTATTGGACCCAGTGCAAATAATAGTGGACCCAGTGGCAATAACTGTGGACCCAGTGCTAATAACAGTGAACCCATTGCCAATAACAGTGGACCCATTGCCAATAACAGTGAACCCAGTGCCAATAACAGTGGACCCAGTGCCAATAACAGTGGACCCAGTGCTACTGATAGTGGACCCAGTGGCACTGACAGTGGACCCAGTGCCAATAACAGTAGACCCAGTGCCACTAACAGTAAACCCAGTGCCAATAACAGTGGTCCCATTGCCAATAACAGTGAGCCCAGTGCCAATAAC